TCTGCCTCTGCCTTCTCAATAGCTGGATTTCAGCCCTGCACCACCATGCTTGACTCACAGGAAGCTTTTTATGCTTGCCAACCTTAAAGTTTGTCATTTTGGTCAAAGGTATGTGGTTTCTGTGACAGCTCAGTGTTCAAAGTCAACATTTTGATATATGTGTGTCTCAATAATAAACTTTTCATATTAGCCATAAAGGTTACTTCATCTCCTGTCTCTCTTTAAGAGTTACATAGGAAAAGGTGATGATGATTGTAATCTCTTGGAAATTGTGTATGTTTGTGCATGTGTGCACATTGTGTCTGGATGTGAATGCATGTGAGCATATGTGTGTCTGCATGTGTGAGTGTGTATGTATGAGTGAGTGTGTATGTGTGTGAGTGAGTATGTGTGTGGTATGTGTCTGCATGTATGTGTGTGACTTGTGTGTGTCTGCATGTATGTGTGTGACTGTGTGTGTGTCTGCATGTATGTGTGTGACTGTGTGTGTGTCTGCATGTATGTGGATGTGTGTGAGTGTGTGAGTGTGTGAGTGTGTGTGTGTGTGTGTGTTTAGAGTAGAGCAGAAGCTGGAGAAAGGTTAATTCCTTCTGGAGTGGAAAGTTTGCAGGCAGATTTTGAGCCATCTTGTTTTGGTCACTATTGTCCAGTTTCTCCCTTGGCTTCCTTTTCTGTGTGATCAGCAGTATCAGATCAGGAGAGCTTCTGGAAGACCCCCACGGGAAGACAGACAGGCGCTGAGCACTGCCAGGAATTTGGTCCCCAGTACTGCCTTCTTTCCCTCACTGTTCTCAGGGAGTCTGCTTGACCATCCCTGAACCTCTCAGGAGTAGGCCTGACTCACCTATAATTTCTGCTTCTCCTTATATCATGATCAAAGAATCTTTCCTTTGGGTTACTGCTTTAGCATGCATTGAGAGTGCTGCACTGGAAGTGTGGGTCAGACTTTTTCCTCAGCGTGCTAGAGATAACTGTATCATGGAGCCTTATTTTAACATTCCCGACTCTTCTGGCAATGATGGAAGGAAAGGAAGAGGGTTTTCTGGCCAGCCAAAGCATCATGGAAGAGAGACATGTGTGCAGACACCCACACCAATGCCGAGAACCCAGCCAGGCTTTCCTGGGGAAGAGTGGCTGTTCGTGTTAGATGTTTCGTGTTAGATGTTTGTCTTGGATGTCTCACACTTTTTCCTATTCCCAGGGCTCGGTCACCCGCCCCCACCTTCTCTCCAAGCAGAATCATCAGAAGAGAGAACCTAAGAACCACAACTAAACCATCCCCATTTGTAAAAATGACAGGAAAATGTCAAAACTTTCTCAGGATGGAAGAGGTCTCCCCACATCTGCAGCCTGCTGGGGCCTTCATCTTTGGTTTGGAAGTGGGGAGTTTTGGGGCTACTCAGTCCCTCCACCCCCCAGCTCCGCATTCTGAGTTCTCAGGACAGACATCAGCTAGGCACCCATCAAAATGATCCGTGTCTCTGTTATGCTTGAGAGTTCTCAGCCTGGGCCCTTACAGTTTTTTTTTCCCTTCCTCAAATGCTTCGGGAAGGGAATGCACGCTTAGCGGGTCTGGTAAAACTCTAGCAGAAATGCAGATTGTATGTTCATTAAGAATGCATGTTGCTGTGTGCGTGGGGAGGGCAGCATTTCAAATGAAGTCACACACGCAGAATACAGTTCATACATCCAGTAATAGTCACTTGCAGATGGCGTGACTCAACGTTGTCTGTACGGTTTCCTGAAAGTTCCCCAGTCTAGAATGTCAGCAACTAACTGCACAGGCCAGTGTTTTCTTCTTGTTGCAATCCCCCCTCACCACCAGGAACACGTGTCTGCATCCTGATAGTTAAACACTGAGTGCTCCACACTGGAACTGGGGTGGAATGTCAGGAATGCTTGGGGGGGGGCTGCTTATTTTAATGAGTATCCTTCAAAACTATAGCTTTGGGCATTGTAACTTAAGATGTTTTCCCAGTGAGGTGCAGCTATAGACAAACATGGCTGCCTAGCAGGGAGCAGGTTTGGGCTCTCGGGAGCTTTACTGCACTTATGCTAGTAAATTTGTTTAAAAGACAGATGTGGTGTCCAGTTCTGATGTTGGGGTAGGGAAATGGTCTTCGGTTAATGGTATCTTCTGTCTTGCTTTGCAATGTGGATGTGCGTGTCGTCGCGTGATGCCCGTATGCATTTTTACTGGCTTGCTGTTCTCTTGGGTTTGGCCCTGGTAGACATCAAGGTTCTCTGGACTGGCCAACCCCCACAGCAGGCCCCTTGACTGTGATAGGCTGGGGGCCAGGGCAGGAGCAGCCTCAAAGACTGGAACCTGGTGTTGAGGGGGATAGAGATTGGAAAGATGGCCGCAGACTCTTTCAGTCCTTTGCATCCTTGGAGGCAACTTTTCCTCCTCAGAGCCCATGCTTACTTGGTTTCTGTGTGTTTGCCTTCCCTTTAACTCTCCAGCCATGAGATATCTGAGTCAGCGGGGCTCAGAATTTGTGCCTAATTTGTACAAATACGGTTAGGAAACTTAAAGGTTAGTGAAGTTATGAGCAAATAGGAAAAGTGAAGTTATGAGCAAATAGGAAATCTAAACCAGAGCTGTGTATTTCCAGGACCTGAACCCATATAACCTGGAATCATAAAGCCAAATGCTAATTTAGCATTGACACAGCCTAAGCAGAAACAAATGCGTATCGAGCAGGGTTTCTAGGCTCTTACAGATGCTCCAACGTGATGTGAAACATAAAATAGGGTCTTGGTCACCTGTGTTGGTGAAATGCTTCCTGATGCTATTTCTGTTTGAGGCTTGCAGACGGGGCCTCTGCTCTCCTGGTGCCCTTTAGTACATACACACTTGTTCCCATATTCCAGTATATTCTGTGACACAGAGAAGGCCCTCCACCTCCCTGTGGGCATGAGATGTTCATTTGAATTGGAAGGGGTATGTTCAAGCAGCTTGGCCATCTATTAGACTCAAAAGCGTAAGCTAGGGATCCTATCAAAAAGGACCTGGGGACATTGGCCTCATTTAGTCATGAGCAGGGCTTCACAGCAGCCTTTATTTTGATACCAGTATTTCACCTGTGTGGAATCATTTTTAAACCCAATCTTACTGATTAAGAAAACCTGCATTATGGGGGGGGGGCTGTGATATGGCTTAGTGGGTAAAAGTGCCCGCGGCCAAGCCTGAAAATCAGAGTTCGAAACCTGCAAACCCGCATCGCAGACCGAGAGAGCCAACTCCTTTTGTTCTCTGGCCTTCATACCCATGCTGTGGCACAAGTGGCATGCACACACAAATCAATGCCAGAAAAAGGGAAGAAATGAAAACATGCAATGTTTCTGAGGGAAAAAGAGAAATATGGACTCTTTATTAACCACGCATAGCAACCGGGGCTGAGGGCTCTCGATGCTGCGGAAGCCCTCCAGGGCCAAGTTCAGCTGAAGAACATGACTTTCCCGAGGACCTGTGAAGGTCTAGCCTACGCATCATGTGTTGATCACGTGAACCAGGTTGAACCACTTGGGGGAAAATTACTACAGACAACACAGCAGAACGATGTTTTAAGATTTTTCTTGTATGTGAGAATCAGATTGGGAGATGTATTTGGACACGAAAATGTTGAAATATAGGCAACATTCTTGTGGTTGATGGGAAAAAATTAGAAACAGATTCAATGTTAAGCTTGTCCCAGAAAACCTAGGGCAAATGGCTGCCAGAAAACAGTTTGAATCTTGTTTCTTTTTTTTGAGCAGATTTAACTGAGTAGTAAGATACAAACAGAGTGAAGCCTTAATGTTTTCTCCAATAAGATATGTGTATTTAATAAATCCTGTCTGTTAACAAACACCTACTTAATGTATAGGTGCTTATATACATACATAGCCCTCCCTTCCCACCTTCATCAAAAGCTTTAAAACATTTTGGTATTAGAGCCACTCTGCATATAAAGGACCTCAAGATTTTACTTTTATGAATTATAGTTATTGGTATTGACTGTATCTCAATTCAGTAAATTTGTTTAATGCATTTATTAATATACTTCAACACAACTTTAAAATGATTACATGCAAATAAAATGATTTTCAGTGTGTGTGTGTGTGTGTGTGTGTGTGTGTGTGTGTGTACCTGTAAAGCCCAGGATAGGGCATCAGATCCTCTGGAGCTAAAATTACGTAGGCAGTTGTGAGTCATGCAGTGTGGGTGCTGGGAACTGAACTCAGGATCTCCGAAAGAGCAGCCAGCGCTCTTAACTACTGAGCTATCTCTCCAGACTCCAGATTATTCATTATATAAAACCCCTTTGTTTTCAAATCAAATGGCGTTGGGTTATGACTTTGCAATCCGGGGCAGATCAGGAGTATTAGGAGAGAAGCCGGATGCCCCTGGTATCAATGAACTTGATCTCCCTCTCTTCCTTCATGTTTCCGCTGAAAGCCTGGTAGAGCAGCGAGATGAAATGGTGAAAGAGTTTTGTTATTATTAAAGTGGCTTTGGGCTTGCGGAGCCTTTCAAGATCATCAAGGACACCCATGGATTCCTGGATGGCAGTTGGAGAACCTGATCTGAGGATATGCTTTTACCCACCCCTACCCCCATTTTCTTATTTGAATCTTATTCTCAAGTATCTGCTCCATCACATGTTGATCCAAGCTAGGATGCTGAAAGGCTCCCCTTGAAAATTAAGGAAGTTCTTTGATGACCTGGGTAGCTAGTTTAAAAGGAGGGACTTCTTGGTTTGCCCATGTGCTGTTCTTTTTCCGTGTAGTTTTGCTTGCCGTCACTTAGAGGTAGACTGTAGGGACACAGACACATTTTATTGATGCAACTTCATAATAAGAAATGAATTATTTGCAGAGGTTTACAGCTTTGGGTGTTATTTTATTTATTTATTTATTCATTTATTTATTTATGTGAGTGCTCTGTCTGCATGTATGCCTGCATGCCTGAAGTGGGCATCAGATCCCCTTACAGATGGTTGTGAGCCACCATGTGGTTGCTGGGAATTGAACTCAGGACCTCCGAAAGAGCAGCCAGTTCTCTTAAGTGCTGAACCATCTCTCTAGCCTTTAGGTGCATTTCGTTTTTCTTCAATCATTTCTGTCTCAAATTGATACCTGAAGACTCTGAAAGTTTGATAGACCTTCATGGTGATCAGGGTTACTGTCTTATTGTATTGTTTTGGTGTATAATTAAAGCAGGCTATGCAAGGGCTGTGTTTTTATTTTCTCATCTCCCATACATACACGTGGGGTTGGCAGGATCCCACCTGCCCCTAATTGGCTGTGTTTACACTCTGCACAAACTGGTGTCTGCCCTCTGTGGAGGTCACAGCAGGCCTCTCTTCTAGACCTTTCAGGAATACCATTGTGTTGACTTGGAGTTTTATCATTACAGTGTTGCCATGTGTGCTACTAATCATGTAATATTTGATAAAGTGAGTTGTGAGAAAATGGAAGTCATTAAGGAAGCCGTAGACATTCAAATCATGACCCTGGGTGTTTATTTAATTTGCCCCGGGGATATGCAATAACATTTGAAGCTACTGCCAGAAGAGTTACGTGTTTGTCCTCAAAGTTTGTATTCTGCCCCCCCCCCCTTCTTGCTTGCTGGGAATGCACAGTTCACTCGGTAGCAATGGTCCAGTCCACGCTTTGAATAGCGCCAGTGTCTCTTATTGTTGTCATTGTGACTTCTTGTGTAATCCAAAGCGGGAATCTTATTTATGTATTTATCTCACTTCCTGTCCCCTTCCTTCAACCTCAGATTAAGTTGATAATTCTTGTTTTGTTTTTTGTTTTTTCCTCTTCCCCCTTTTTGCCTCCTTAAATAATATCGAATAGTGCTCAGCACTGGAAACTGTTAGATGATGAAGATGTTCAAAGTATATGATTAAGAAAATCCCTTATCCCTTCAAAACCTCCCAGTGAGTGTGTATAGATAGTACTGTTTGGAAGTTGTTTTTGAAACTTTCCCATAGTGGGTTCTCAGCCTGTGGGTCTCCGACCTCTGCACATCTGTCACGTATCAGAGATTTACATAAAAGTAGCACAATTACAGCTATGAAGTAGCAATAAAATAATTTTACGATGGGGGGGGGTCACCACCACAACATGAGGACTTGTATTAAAGGGTTTGCAGCGTTAGGAAAGTTGAGAGCCATTGCCCTAAGTTATCATCTCTGCTTAGCTTGTTTGGAAGGGATGAGTTAATGAGCAAACTTTCCCCCAGGTGTCTGGAGTCAAGGGAAGAGCAGGGATATCTTGTTTTTCCTTCACAGGATTCCTTTGCTGTTTCATTGGAGCCCAGGGAAGAGGGGGGAATGGAGCTAGAGCTGCTTCAAAGAACTTGCAGCTGAGAAATGAAGGAAAACAGATAAATGGCTGCCTGGGCTAGACAGCAGGCACCAGGAAGTAGAGCGTCTGACTTGGCGATGCGAGTTTTCAAGGTGCTCCCCTGAGCGCTGGACATCAGGTCACGTCACAGCATCTCTGGGGCTTGTCACTAGCAGGAGTAGGTTCCGTTTCCTAGGACCTCAACCCTAGTTCTCAGGAGGAGAAGGAGGGCATTTGTGGCTCACGAGATGAAGTCCTGTGTCAAGGCGGGCTGGTAAGTAGCAGCGCTGGGGGTGAAATCCATAATCACGTGACGCCAGGGCCTTCTGTCCCTTGCAGGTTTCAACTAACAAGCTGTAGCACACCTACTACCGCACATCTTCCTGCCTGGCTGGATTTCCCTGCTGTATTCCTCCAGATAAAGAAATGAGAAATGCAGCAAGTATCCATTTGTCGAAACATTTGAAAGGAAGTCAGAGAAAGGCCAGAAGGGACTTAGGTTTCTCCAGAGAGGAAGTTGAGAAACTCAAGGAAAGCAAACCACCATGGCCAGATGTTATTTATCCAAATGTTTTTTTGGCCATCTTTCGATACTTTCTGGATCTCTGCTCCCGCTCTGCGATCTAGCTGAAGCTGCTCTGAGCTTTTAAAATATACATATGTGAATTTGAAACCTTGCTCATTTAATCCAAAATATGCTCTTAAAACTCTAGCTCCTCTGTAATAACAACGGTGGGAGTAAGAAGGGATCAGTCCAGATGGTTATTTAAAGTATTTCATTCCAAGTGGAAAAGATATTTCTGTGCTGGCAACACTTGCAGCTAGAGTGAGCCTTATTTTTGCTTAAAAAAAAACTGTCTTTAGCCCTCTCTTACCACATATACATGGAATGTTTCCTACTTAAAATCTTAATTTTCTCGCAATGGAAGGCTAAATGGAGATTTCATTGTGGCTGTCTTTGACTCTGTACCCAAAGGAACACAAGCTTTTTGGATGTCCTGAGAGGAAGGTAATTACTGTTAGTTACCCCGTGAAGGGTGTGGAGAGGGGGATGAGGACAGGGTCATTTTTCTCTTATGAAAGGTCTGTTTATTTGCAATCTCTGTTCCCTAATTGTCCTTTTCCTGTGTATTGTCCTCCTTGTTGCTAAGGTTGCAGTGTGTGTGGCTTTGCTTTAGGTCAAGTTTTCTTTCCCTTTTCAGGGGAGTTATTTATTTATTTATTGGTTCCTTGTTTGGCTCCAGAGATTTGCAGCAATGTCTGCCCTTCCCCTAATTCTTTATCTTATTTTATTATTATTTTGTTTCTGAATCTTTTGCCAGTGAATCTCTTCTGGTTGTAATTTCTAACTTTTATTAGTTTGGATTTTCTTTTTGTAGTGTTTTGAGACAGGGTCTCTGTAGCCCAGGTTGGCCTGGTACTCACTCACAGCTCAGGCTGGTCTTGAACTTGAGACTGTCCTCCTTCTCTCCCCTCGTGAATGCAGGGATGATGGGTGCCTGCCTTCAAGCCCTGCAGCCCTTCCCCCAGTATACTCTGTACTCTCCTTCCCTTTCCCTGATAAAACCATGGTTACAAATTGAATCCCAGTGGCCTTCAGCTGATAGGAAACTTAGAGGGCTGGCTTCCAGTTGAGCTGTGTTTGTGTTAATGAAGACTTGGGGGAAGTGTTTTCTCCACCCCGCCCCCCCCTTTTGATTCTGATCATTGCCTCTGAACCAGTAACCCTCATGGCTATTTATGACCTCAGTTGTCTGATTGATTTGTGATGGTCAGAGACATTGCCACTCTTGAGTGATACCTCCTAACCCTCTCTCTGTGTAAGTAGGTATTTGGAAGGAGTGGCGGTAGATAGCCAGGATTGTCAGAGGCAGGACATTTGGCTCTGGAAGCTGACCCTTGCTCCTCCTGGTGCTCAACTTCACCTAGGTACAGTCCTCTCTAGGCTGACACAGCTGCTCCTCACTGGAGCTCATCTCCCTTGCTTGCCATGTTTTGTGGATGTGAAGTAGGGAGAGGTATGCCCTGGCAGTGCCTTTTAAGACACTAAGTGTCTGGGCAGAGGCTCAGCCACGTAATCATGGCTAACTCTCGTATCTGGAGTGAAAATTGATTGCTCGTCAAAGCCAGAACTCAATAGAGTTTTAAACTTGAAATTTATGGAAGAGTTCAGAGGTCTTCTTCATGATGCTGTGGTGAGCAGTCCCAGCCCCCTCCCCCATTGTTGTTCACCCCACCCTGTCACCACTTCCCTTAGAACTGGAAGCATTCTAGGAAGGACCACTCTGTGCCCAGAAAAGCCTTTGGCCCAGCTCTGGTTCATCTGCTTGTAGAACAAAAGAAGACAAGTACAGGGAGATGGTTTTGTATTCATGAACAACCCAGAATCCTTCCCACTGGGTAGTCACTGTACTCTGTATATATGGACATCATGTGTTGCAAGCCCCTAACATTAAGGAAACAGGTCAGATCCCTGGCCTCAGGGGAAGGAACCTTTTCTAGCTACCAAACTCTGATTTTACAGCTCCTGCTGACTGGCACTCTGTCCTTACCCTCTTCTGGCTTCCTTCTTTCCGGAGGTGGCTGAGTGGGAGCTGTGCATCCCTAAGCCAGTCTAGGCTTTGTTTTCTTTTTGACTGACTTCATGATGGAGCTCTGCACCTCTTCCCATCTAGCCTGCATCTGGCCTGCTCTGGGCTAAATTGTCTTTTCTCAGAGGGAATGCAAGTTAACTTGACTGGAAGGGAGACTGATTATTACACAGGTAAACCCACCATGTCAAGAAAGCACTGATATTTTCCAAGTGACTCTTTGAATTACCCAGTATATGGATGATGATGATGATGATGATGATAATAGTAATAATAATAACAACAATAATGTGGATATATTACCCCCTACTCTCAGTGACTTGGTTAGTTTTATGACTGTATGAGAACCGACTATAATATGTTTTGTCTGGATTTTGTTCTTTGGTTAGAACACAAATCTACTCTCTTTACATGCTTCAAGTTTAAATAGACAAAGCAGGGAATAGAGCCTCCCACTTCCCAAGATCAAGCATTTCAGTTAAATTTGAAATCTTCTTTATCAGTGTAGGACAGTGAAAAAATTAAACCCAGCATATATCAGAGGGAGTGACTTTTAAAGACCAGACAACCTGGGGAGTTTTTATATTTACTACATTTTAAAGTCTACTTATGACATTTCAACAGTGGGAATAAGAACAAAAGAAACACAGTAGCTAGAATGGTGGTTTGAAAGAAAATACCCCTCCCCCCCGGAGTGGCACTATTAATAGGTAAGGTATGTCCTTGTTGGAGGAAATGTGCCATTCTGGGGGTGGGCTTTCAGGTCTCTCTTGCTCAAGCTTCCTTCAGTGTGATTGCCAGTTGACTTCCTGTTGCTTGCAAGATGTAGCACTCTCAGTTCAAGCACCACATATGCCTGTAAGCCACCATGCTTTTCGTCATAATGGCAGTGGACTGAACTTCCACTGTAAGCCAGCGCCCCATTAAATATTTTCCTTATAAGAGCTGCCGTGGTCATAGTGTCTCTTCACAGCAGTAGAAACCTTAAGACAACTAGTGTGTTTGATTTGAGACAAGGTTTTGGTTGGAGGTGAGGGATGTGGTATTCAAGCTTGGAAATTAACTGTGTACAAAGTTGCTAGGGTTGCCTAAGAACTTTGTTTTCTTTTCATACTTTTATTTTGTATGTGTTGTGTATTTTGCCTGTACATAATGTATTCATATCCTATGTGTGCCTGGTGCCCATGGAGGACGAAAGAGGGTATCAAGTTCCCCGGAACTGGAATCACGGGTGGTTGTGAGCTGCCGTGTGGGTGCTGGGCATGGGATCCCAGTCCTTTGAAAGAACTCAACTGCAGATCCACCACCTCCTTTCTCTCCAGCCCTCTACTTTCTTTTTAAACCGTGAATGATGGCTTCGTTTTCATGTGTTTTGAAATACATAAAATCTTAGTCTTTCCTGTGGTAGGTAAAGGGAGGCAGGGAGAATCTCTACAGAACTGTTTTCATTAGGATGGCTCAGTTCTAGGCCATGTTTAATGATAGTACACATAGACTCACCTTTCCTGAAGCCAATGAAGTCTTTATTGACAGTTCTTTCTCACTTTTAACACTTCATAGAACCACAAATTTAAGTGGTGGTGGTGATGTTTGCATTGGAAATGATCATTATTCTGTTTTGATGCTCAAGTTATCCATGGTGGTTTCTCAGAATCCCAAACTATGTTTCTCTCTGTGAATTCCCCATAGCGGTAACGCGTGACATCTCCAGAGTTCCAAATGCTCACCAGCACTGTCTTATTTTACTTTTTTCTACTCTGGATAAATAGAATTGTATTTCAGCATTGCTTAACAGACCTTTCCTTGGAGTGAGGTTAAGTATAAAATAACAGTTTCGGCTGTCAGGACGTTGGATTGGACCATCAGCTTCTAGGCCCCTTTCCTTCCAGGTCCTTCTCTGATGGCGTTACATGTTCATATTGGCTGGCGTTGTCATTGGCTCAGGTCTCTAAGGTTTTTATGATTGTTGTGATAAATTATCACGACCTTGATGGTACTAACCAGCATGCGTAGCTCACCTTACAGCTCTGGAGGGTGGAGGCATGTAGTGAACCTCACTGGGGCTCTCCAGGAGGCTCCGGTATAGAATCTGTTCTTCTGCCTTTTTTCTGCCTCCGAAGGACACTTCTCCAGGCCCATGACACCTTCCTCTATCTGTAAACCAGAACTCGAGGATATGAGTCCCTAATTCTTCTATTGCAATTGTTGTGTTGTCATCACCAAGGCTGCCGCCGCCACCACCTCCTCTGCCTTCTCCTCATCCTCCCCTTCCGCCTTCTCCTCCTTGTGTGTGGTGTATGTATATGTATTGTCATGTGTGCATGCATGTGTACATTCACATGGAGACCAGAGGTTGACATCAGATATCTTCTTCCTTGATACAGGGTCCCTTGCAGAACCTGGAGCTGATTTGTCTGAACTGGCTGGCCAGTTGACCTCTGGGAGTCGACCCCTCGCCACTCCCCAGTGCTGCACTTGCAGATGTGAGCTACCATGCTCGCTCAGCTTTTACATGGGTGTGGCATCACACTCTTCATGTGCGAACGACAAGCATTGTCCCGACTGTGCCATCTCCCTAGCTGTCCTTCTTTCTCAGGACCCTTTGCGGGGTGTGGAGCCCACAGAGTCCAGCACCATCTTACATTTGGCCAGCCAGTCAGTGCCCAGACTTCACTTATAACCT